ATAATTTTATATTTGAGAATTTTATATTTTGTTTAACTTTCATTCCTGTCTTTACAACATCCCTTTGGTTTTTCTGCTAGTTTGTCTTTTTTCATTCTATATTTCAAATCATTATTTATTTTGAAACAGAGTTTAAAGTGATTGTTGTTAGGCTATAACATTACATGTGTACTGTGTGTAGCTGGTACATGTGTACTGTATGTACACATTTTTTTTCCTATAACAGTATCATCATTTTAGCCAGGAAACCCTCTCTTCTTATCAAGAACCATTTTTAGCAGTATAGGATTGTTGATTTCTTGAAATATATTGTAGGTTCTTCACATTATTTGCTCTTTAAATCACCAGGTATTATATATATATATATATATATACTATAATAACTCTGGTACACAATGTACTTATGTAAGTTACATAATATTTACAACAGGAATGAAACGGACAAACTAACCTTACTCATTGTTTGACGGATCAAACTGGCGGTTACATTTAACGACTGATCCTCCATATCCACCTTGGGCAGCTCTGGTAATTTTGGACCAATCAGAGTCTCAGTTTCAGATGCTTCATTCAAAAAGAACACTTGTTCCTCCAACTTTCTTTTTCTACTTTCTAAATGTGTAGTCCTTGGCTTGAATCTAACAGAAGGTGAAAGGTTCTTCTGCACATGACTCAAATCTCTCTCTTTAACACTTGAAGATGAGGAGGATGCACTCTGCTTTGATGATTCTGGGACAGGAGGCATGGAATTATGTAGAGAGCCCATCTTATCCTATGTGGGTAGTGTTGTATCTGTGGTCCACTGCAACGGTAATGGCTGTGCAAAACCATGAATTCTATAAGAAACATCCTCCACTGGGAGTGAGGGAAGCACAGGAAAGCCCATGTCGTCAGAGTTTTCATTCTCCGTTCTGGCATTTTCAGAGTTTTTCTGGACCTCAAGTGCTGCAGCTGCTCGTGTGTCTCTGCTCGATGACTCTCTGCTTTCTTCTAGTTTCTGATTGTGATGTTTTGCTAAAAAAAAAAAAATGTAGATTTTCTACAGATGTAACTTATTAGGAGACAATTCATATTATTTAAAATACCTGTATTTTGGCTTGCTCTGTTAACATATCTTCTCCTGTCCTGTAACTTTTGCCTCGTCTCTTCCACAGTTTCATACTCGGGGGCATAGCAGACATGTAACTGACTCCCAAAGAAGCTCTTTTCATCAGTGTGCCATTTAGCTACCCTGCACAATTCCACATTGTAACGCATGTCACTCCATGAAAAAAAGTGTCTTTTGAGTCTCTCATGAACGATTTTATTTATATATACAAAAATCTGACACCAACTTTTTAAAAGTTTTATAGGCATTAAAAAAATTAATCATCCCATTTTTACGGAATTTTCAATTTTAGGTTATCGTATTTAGATTAAATAAACATCAGCATTCAATTCTCTTTATAATAATCATCTTGCAGTGTCATGACCTTGAGCAAAAAAAAAACTTGTAAAATGGTTAAATCAGCTTGTCAGATAAGCCTTACATTGTACGTGAATATTGTTGGCTCCTTGACAAATTGCTTTTAGAAGTCGCTTTGCATAAAAGCATCTGCTAAACGTGTAAATGTAAATTAAACTGTTTATATATTTCTTTTAAAACACGTTTGATACTTATTTAGAAAGGCCATATTAAACTACTGAAAAGTGAAAGTAAAGATATTTACAATATTACAAAAAAAATTTACATTTCTACTTTGTATTCATTATGTGCCAGTTTCCACAAAAAAAAAAAAATTAAGCAGAACAAGTATTTACAACATTGATCATAATAAGAAATATTACTTGAGCAGCTAATCAGCATATTGAAATGATTTCTGAAGAATCATGTGACACTGATGACTGGAGTAATGACTGCTGAAAATTCAGCTTAGCTATCACAGGAATAAGTTACACGTTAAAATATATTAAAACAGAAAATAGTTTTATTTTAAATTGTAATAATATGTCACATTATTACTGTTTTAGTGTCTTTTTTCTTATGAAATAAATGTAGCCTTGCCTAGGTGAGCATAAGAGACTACTTTCAAAAACATTACAAAATTAAGTGTGGCACAAACTCAATTTAAACATGTTTACCTTGCACTCGTCAGCTTCTGTAATTTAAATAAGTAGACTTCAGTGAACTGCTCTGCTGGGTATTCATCCAGCGCCCTGTACTCCTCGATCACTCCATAGAGAGCAAAGAGCTGCACCAGCTCTGTCATAACTCCAATAGCGGGCACTCCTTGAACTATCAGGAACCGAGACTCCAAGTTGATGGTATATACCTGAAATCAGTGATTCAGTCAAAAATATTATTTACTTTGGCTGTGGCTC